GATGCATAATGTAACACTTAATTGCAGAATGGGAGCTGAAAAGAATAGTTTGTTCAGGTTGAGTTTGGTCAGAGAACAGGAAAATAGCATGGTTTTCTAGAGCTAAAAGACAGAAACAGTTTTGGGGAAATCTCCCGAGGTTTTGCCGTTTTACTCTTGAGAAGTCATGCTGGTTTGAACCAAGCAGCACATGCTGTGTCCTTATTTACTTTTCATCCTCTCGTCCTTGGTGTCAGGAAATAAACAACCACTTCAGAAACAAATGCATATCTTATGCTAACTTTTCACTGGAAGAATGCTAGATTAGAGGGATCTTTAGTCTCATAAGGGTTTTCTACACTTTTGAAGCTGTACAAAACTTCCCAGATCCCCTCTGGTTACATATGTCACACAAGCAGTAATTAGGTCTCTACAGATTTCTGCCAAAAGCCATCAGAAGAAGCCATTTTGCTCTTACTGTCAGGTTTCACGTAAGATATACTTGGAATTGCAGATGAGGCTACCAGCATTAAGTGTATCAAGCATACAGTGTAATCCTATACATGTCTACTCAGATGCAAGTCCAACTTAGTTTAATGGGGCTGTTAGCATTATCATTATTATTATTATTCAAACATGTTGGCTTAAAATGTATTTGATCACTAGAATACAGTAAAGTGTTTTCTTATGGCAATTGTTCCATCAGCACAAGCATTTCGACTTGTCCCTCTCCTCTCCCTGTAAGCTGTTCTGGGGTTCTCCTGACTCTCCTCCTGCAACTCCCATCATCCCTAGCTAACAGGACCAGTTGTCAGGGATGATGGGAGTTGTAGTCCCGAAACATCTGGAGGGCCGATTTTGCCTATGCCTGGTCTATTGGGTGACTGGGGGGGGGGGAGGAGAGAAGGGAAAGCCTCATTGTACCTAGTGGGACTTGTTAGTTGAATCTGGCCTCATGAGTTCAAACAGAACTGATTCACTCTTCTGTGTCATGGTTATTTTATGTGTTATATCACATAATTAATTATTAACTTCCTTTGTTTGCCGATGAAGCAATTTATTATACAAACAATGGCAAACTGAAAATAAGGTACACATAACTCCTACTAAGGGACGCAGGTGGCGCTGTGGGTTAAACCACAGAGCCTAGGACTTGCCGATCAGAAGGTCAGCGGTTCGAATCCCTGCGACGGGGTGAGCTCCCGTTGCTCGGTCCCTCCTCCTGCCAACCTAGCAGTTCGAAAGCACGAAGTGCAAGTAGATAAATAGATACCGCTCAGGCGGGAAGGTAAACGGCGTTTCCGTGAGCTGCTCTGGTTCACCAGAAGCAGCTTAGTCATGCTGGCCACATGACCCGGAAGCTGTACGCCGGCTCCCTCGGCCAGTAAAGCGAGATGAGCGCCGCAACCCCAGAGTCAGTCATGACTGGACCTAATGATCAGGGGTCCCTTTACCTTTACCTTTATACACCCACAGTCATTCTTGACTTATTGCAAGTTCCAGGGCTGCTTAAGTCTGGTAGTTTGTACATGTGACCTGTGTGAGGTAGAAGATGATTGGTTTAATGGGTGCTGAAGTCACAGAAACTCTGATGGCTCCCAAATATATGGGAAAGCAGTAATAATGCTGTATATAGTTCCTAGGCATTTGGTGTTCTCTCCTAGATAATAGGCTAATCTCTCTGCACCTTCCTACCAAGTCATCTTTGCAAGGTTTCTCTCCTTGGGATGGAAGGATCTGCTCATTTCAGTACTCTCTGTTTCATATTTTCCCTGTCTTAAATTCAGTTCTCCACATTTTGCAGCAATTTGTGATTATTATTTTTTTAAGTCCTCGTGAAAATTCACCAGCATTTCAGTGCAAATTTCTCTTGATAAACACATTTTTATTGGCAGTTTGGACTAGTATGCACATTTTTGCAGGCAATTCCCCCTAATATAATGCATCTTTGTATGTTCTTTTCATAAATGTCCATTTGTATGCACACATTTCCAAAATCTATGCATTTCTGTAAACATTTGGTTGGGGGACTCCATCACAACAGTTGGATGAATGCAAATTTGGAAGGATAGCTATGTTTTGGTTTGCATATTGTTTTGGAGAGTGCAAATTTGTCAGATTTGGCTTAAAACACTTATGGAATTTAATTTCTCCTCTGCCCCTACTCTCTCCTCCACCTAGACACCAGTTTAGAAGGAGAAGGCAGCCAGACTTTCTTACATTTATATCCTGCTATTCTTCCATCATGGAAACCAAGTTAGCATTCATGTGGTTTCCATCCAGACATGGACAAGATCCAGACCTGCTTAGCTTCAGTAAGATGGTGGCCTCTTGTGCCTTCAGACTATGCTATGGAAGAGATCTTATCCAGGCTAATCATTGCAGGGTAGGAATTAAAGTAATATACAGCCTGTTAGAGGGCAAAACATTGATTGCTATTTTGAATGCAAGATCCTCTAGATCTCCATAAGGGGGCAACTGAAATTAAAAAACAACAACTCTTAGTTGGCTATTTTAGAAAGCAACATTCACAGAATTTCATTAAACTGTCCAAATTGGTGAGAAAACTGATCAACAACTGATGAAAAGATTTTCACCCTAAAATGTAAGTACAAACTGTTTGTACTAAGGAGTTTGCTGACACAAAGATGCTATACTGTACCAGAAATCTAAATTAACACCCTCTGCTGACACACACTCTCTCCTGTGGAGCGAGAAGTGTATTATTACTATTATTATTTTAACATTTATACTGCTTTATATAAGTAAGTAAGGGACGCGGGTGGCGCTGTGGGTAAACGGTGTTTCCGTGTGCGGCTCTGGCTCGCCAGAGCAGCGATGTCACGCTGGCCACGTGACCCGGAAGTGTCTCCGGACAGCGCTGGCCCCCGGCCTCTTGAGTGAGATGGGCGCACAACCCCAGAGTCTGTCAAGACTGGCCCGTATGGGCAGGGGTACCTTTACCTTTTTATATAAGTAAGTGATTTACATAAAACACCATAAGATCATTTTTAAAAGAAATATATATATATATACACACAACACTATAACCAAAATTACATAGCAACAGATCTGTAAAAACAGAAAATCTATCAATAAAACTTTCAATTAAATATAAATGAATAACAGAACAGTGTGATGAATCTTATGAGCCAGGGAAAGTCTGCTTAAACAGATGGCTTTAAAGGAGGTATTTCAAGCCTGCCACTATTTCTGCTTCACAAACAGCACATGGAAGGGTATGGCAATAATGTCAACGGACCGAAGGCATTGTGAAAATTCAGGGCACAGTTCCAACATGGCAAGGCTTTAAAGCAGAGCTTTCCCAACTTTTCATGTTGGTGACACACTTTTTAGACATGCATCATTTCACAACACAGTAATTCAGTTTTACTAGCAAACCGAGCACGGGGAAAGTTCGCACGACACACATACAGACTGCAGCCGACATACTATCGTGTTGCAACACAAAGTTTGGAAAGCTCTGCTTTAAAGGATGTCAGGAAAAAAATGCATGGCTGTTTTTGGCTCATGCTCTCAGTATGCCTGCCTGCTATTGCTGTTCATGAGCCCCATCTAGAAGATTGTAGCCATTACCTTTTCCTCTGCTGTTAAGAGCTTATTGATTGTATCTTGAATTTTATTTAAATAAGTTTCTTTACCCACTTTAATGAACACTCAGTCTCCTCTAGGTCAGGTAGCAGTTACTGACCAAAATCTTGACCCTACATGGCAAACCTTCCAGTAACTTTATTGTGATCAAAATTAATTTTAGTTAGTGATATCCAACTAAGTCATACTCAGAACATGCCCTCTGTATGAAAAAGAAATGGATTCATTCTAGTGCACAGAATTTCTGGGTAAATACTATCATTTTCAGCATCCTATCCTATTTAAAATGTGCCATATCATGGATACTTTGAGATTTGTGCATTGCAAGGGTTTGGACCCAATGACCCTCAGGGTGCTCTACAATTCTATGATTCTGTGTAGAATTGGAGTATAATATTTGTGTTGCAAAACCTATAGAGATGGAATTTAGATCATTTCACATCATTCTGCTTCTCATGAGAACATGCATATTTTTCTGCAGCAAGAGAACATTTCTGCAATATCTCCATTATGTTGAATGAGAAGCTATCTGTGTTTGTATGGATTGTCTGGTTCATTTAATTTACTCTTCCTGGGATCGTTTATTTCAGAGCCATTAATTCAACAAGTTTTAGTGTAACTGATGTCTGTTGCTGTTTCTGTTATTTCCCAGATACTCATTGTTCTGGGCGATTTCAGCATCCATGCTGAGGGTACTTTGTCAGTATGATTTTATGGCAGGAATAGCCAACGTGGTAATTTCCAAATGTTGTTGGGACTACAGCTCCTATCAGCATGGCCAACGATCAGAAATTATAGGAAAGTGGTCCAACAACATATTGAAGACCTTCCTCTTGAGCCAATTGAGTTCTAGAACTTTTCTAAAGGTGTCACTGTTCAATATGATAGTTACCGGTACTCTGGCTGAGTTCTTCCGAAAGAATAAATGTGAAACCAAGCACAATGAAGATTGTATAAGGTAAAGGTAAAGGGACCCCTGACCATTAGATCCAGTTGTGACCGACTCTGGGGTTGCAGCGCTCATCTCGCTTTATTGGCCAAGGGAGCTGGCGTTTGCCTGCAGACAGCTTCCGGGTCATGTGGCCAGCATGACTAAGCCGCTTCTGGCGAACCAGAGCAGCACACAGAAACGCCGTTTACCTTCCCGCCGGAGCGGTACCTATTTATCTACTTGCACTTTGATGTGCTTTCGAACTGCTAGGTTGGCAGGAGCAGGGACCGAGCAACGGGAGCTCACCCCGTCGCGGGGATTTGAACTGCCGACCTTCTGATCGGCAAGTCCTAGACTCTGGTTTAACCCACAGCGCCACCCGCGTCCCAAAGATTGTATAGTCCTTTGCAAATCAAAAGTGACAAATGAGTTGCTGATAATATTTGAAAGGCTAATGAACTGGTACCATTTGTTTCAGAATAATCATTTCTCCGACTTTGTGGATAAACAAACCGGCTATACAACCGTCAACATGCTTGCAGCTCCAATAGTGTCTGGGAAAGAGGTTCTCGCTGTGTTCATGGTTCTTAACAAGCAAAATGCCTCTGAATTCTCTAAAGAAGATGAAGATGTAAGTACTGACATGAAGAATGCTGTGGTCCGTAGAGCAACAAGAAGTAACAAGTTGGGTTCACTGAGTGGCCTGAGTATAGCTGTCAACTTTTCCCTTTTCTTGCGAGGAATCCTATTTGGAATAAGGGAAGTTCCCTTTAAAAAAAGGGAAACATTGACAGCTATGGGCCTGAGGTCACCTGACAAATGTAGCATTCTGCTGTATTTTCTAAATGGCTGCTAATCTGACATGAGAAAGGAATTTCTACAGACAGCTTCAGTAGGAAACAGCTGAATTACAGTTTATGAGCCAGTGTGAAGTAATGGTTAGAGCAGGCATAGGCAAACTCGGCCCTCCAGATGTTTTGAGACAGCAGTTCCCATCATCCCTGACCATTGGTCCTGTTAGCTAGGGATGATGGGAGTTGTAGTCCCAAAACATCTGGAGGGCCGAGTTTGCCTATGCCTGGGTTAGAGTCTTGGAACATGACCTGAGAGACCAGCATTTGAATCCCCACTCAGTCATGAAGCTCACTGGGTGACCTTGGGCCAGTCATCATCTCTTAGCCTAACTTACCTCACAGGGTCGTTGTGAGGATGAAATGGGGAGGAGGAGAACCTTGGCAGATAAAGGTGGCATAGAAATGTAATAAAATAAATAAAGAGAAAACAAATCCAGAAATTCAATTCTATCCCTGGTGGCCAGAACTGGGATAATGGGCTTTTATCCCACTACAGGTTTTTATTAACTTTCCAGTGCCAGGTATTTGCATTACCAGCAATACTGTTCTGTGAATAGTCACTATAATGACTTAATGTCATTATAACTTTTTGTACTTGGTTGCGTTTAATTTCTCTCTGATCTCACTGGTTGTAATTCGTCTCTACAATTATGAATATTATATATATATATATATAACAGTCAACGCAGATTAAAACCTGATGCATCGGATAATCTTGTCATCAACGCTTATGCCACAGTAAATTTGATTGTTTTTAAAGTGCCACAAGAACCTCTCCAGTTTTTGCTACAACTAACTCACTGGAAATTATAGCATTGTTGGAACTTATGCATGTCGACTCAGAAGTAAGTCCCACTGAGTTCAGTGGGGTTTACTTCCAGCTAAGGGGATATAGGATTTCAGCCTTAGTGGGTAAAGATCTGGATAGGAGAAAGTTAGGAGCCTTGTGTAAGCTGTTTGCCTTTCCAAGGAAGAGTGCGGTGCAAGTAAAAAAACCACACCATTATAAGCCACAATCCCACCAAAGCGCTGTGAAGGCCCATTGACTTCAGTAGCAGTGAGACATCTTTGTGCTTAAGTATGTCATTGAAATAAATGGAACTTGAAGCACTTGACTTTGTTTGGATCATGCCCATGATAATTGCTACTCTCTCTCTCTTTCCTTTGCAGCTATTTAACAAATACATTAATTTCCTTGCACTTGCTGTAAAGCAGTATCACATGGCATACTTGTACAATATTGAATCCAGAAAAAGTCAGGTAAAGTATTACATCTTACTTAATTAAATGTGAAGTCAGTGAAAGTTACTTATTTTTCTTGCTGCTGCTTATGCTTTCATAATGTGCCCCCAAATGCAAAAGTATGTACTGATTGTGACACATTTCCTCATGATTTGCCAGTGTTGTCGTTTACGCTTCAGCCTGCATCAGTCAGAGTTTTAAATGTTTCCTCATTTTTTCTCTCTCTCTCTTAAATAGATGCTTTTGTGGTCTGCCAACAAAGTATTTGAAGAACTTACAGATATTGAACGACAGTTTCACAAAGCACTGTACACCATTCGAGTATACTTAAACTGTGAAAGATATTCTGTTGGTCTGCTGGACATGACCAAAGAGAAGGTCACTACTATTTCTTATAACTAGCTAATTAACCTAACTAAACTTTTACAAAAGACTAATGAGGTGGTGCCAGAGAAGAGGCAGCTTGCCCCCCACTTGTCACACTCGTCTCTACTTGAAGGAAAGGCACATACAAATTGTAACTGAATCATCATTAAAATATAGCTGTGGTCTTAAGCATGCTTACTTGAAAGTTAACTCTGTCAGAAATCAATAGGAGTTACTACTTCAGCTAAAATATGTTTTGGATGGGAGCATTATTTCTCTTTCATAAATGTGGAACAAGCATGCCCCTCCTCGAAATGCCTTTTGTTTCCCTCTCCCCTCTTCCCAATTGTTGCTGCTGCCACTACAGGAAGGCTACATGATCTTGTGTATGGTGAGTCTACTTAAATCGAATCCACTTCAGCAGGATTCAAGCAGCCTAACTGGCCACAAGATCAGAGATGAACTCTTGTCCCCCCTCCCCCAATCCTTGGTGCCATTTTTCAGGGACATTTTGCTCATTCATCTGTTACTATTCCCAGGAATTCTATGATGAATGGCCAATTAAACTGGGAGAAGCAGAGCCTTACAAAGGACCAAAAACACCCGATGGCCGAGTGAGTACAATTCTTTCATCTCTCCAAATCTCAGCCTTCTGGATACTATTGACAGATTATTACATTTCTTTCTCCCCTTGCATTTAGGAAGTCAACTTTTATAAGATTATTGATTACATCTTACATGGAAAAGAAGAAATCAAAGTCATTCCGTGAGTGTTTCCTGCCAGTTTGTTAGATAGTAATTAGTAGAGTGTGTTTGGAACAGCCCCAGATTGCGTGGGGGGGGGGGAGCACGAGGGGATACTTGCTCTGGGTGGCAGGCTAGTGGGGTGGCAAAACAGCATCCCACCCTAGCTTGGTTTTCCTATTTAGAAGAGGCTGGCGAGCCATAGCCTGCCATGCTGTGTTGTCCTGTTGCCAATGTGGTGTGGCTGTCTATGGCCCACCATGGTGTTCCATCCTTTATTTGCAAGTCAGAGTAGTCTCTGTAGAAAGAAGACTGTCAGTGAGGCTTTGCATGGCAGATGGACGAGGCAAAAGGAGAGGTATCTACTGCTGCTACTGCTCTTTATGCCCCAGGTCTGGGGAAATAGTAAGGATGTTGATGATGGTGATGATAATAATAATTATATTTATACCCTGCCCTTCTGGCTGGGTTTCCCCAGCCACTCTGGGCGGCTTACAGTACATATAAAAACATGGACACTTCTTTGCTTTGCTCTGCTCTGTTACCTTTTGCTCTTCCTTCCTTCTCCCCCAGGCTCCAGAATTTAGCAAATGGCTTCCTCTGGTGACTTACACTTCACTAAGCCCTTATGCAACATCCACTTGAGGAAGGGAGGGAAGTGGGAAGAGACTAGGGGTCCAGCCAGAGTCCAAGATGTTTCTTCCTTTCAGTGCCTGCTTTTGCCCTAAGATCTGGGGAGGGGGATTGAGGTGAGGGCAGCTGTGGGCACCATGCAATACCTTTCTGATGTTTCTGTTTAAATGAAACAAGGCGCCTTTTCTCTCTCTTTGACACTGACCACGAGAGCAGCTTCTCTCTTGGTGATAAGGGTACAGGGGTGGGATAGACAGACCAGAATACACAGAGGATGTAATTATTTGAGACAAACCTGAGAAAAAGAATATGTGAGGGGGCGCTTTCCATATATTTTTATTAATGCCAATCTTGCTCCCAAACGCTCGGATTCATTACCCACAACAATTTTTTTTAAAAAAACCTCTAAAGCCCACCCACCCACACCAACACCACAGTCTGAAGAGCTTAATGGGTGTCACTGGTCACCTTTCAGTTTGTAGATCTGGTACTGGGTTTGGAAGTGCTCAATTTTATCTCATTCTCTTCTTCAAAGATCACCTCCTCCAGATCACTGGTGTCTTGCTAGCGGATTGCCAACTTACGTTGCTGAAAATGGATTTGTAAGTTTCAGGGGTTTTTTTTTATACAGCTCCATATGTATAGGTGTATTTTGTTTAAATCTTTATATCAGTATGTTTCACAATAATCTAAATATATGTGTAAGGGCTCCTCCCGGTGACCTCCTTATTTGGCATTCATCCGGATTTCCTTGCACAAATTTCACCCAAAGTTTAGATTATATCTGGTATTTATTTTAGGTTTACTTTACCCAGGATCAGTGTATGTGAAGAAGTCTGTAGCCATAACAGCAGGAGCCCCCACTCTGTAGAAGCATCATCTAGAAGTGCCCCCAAGAAGATACAAGCAAAAATACTCTACTTGGCCTGTCTCCTGTAGCAGCTGACACCTGACATTTAAATGACACAGCTTCTTTTTATTGTATTTCTCTCCCTCTCTCTCTAGATTTGTAATATGATGAATGCACCAGCAGATGAATACTTCACTTTTCAGGTAGTGTCTTTTCGTTTATTGCATTAACAAGTAAATAATGCTAAGATAATACATCAGCACTAGAGATGGATGAGACAATTCTTGGTCTGCTTTTTAAAGTGAATTGACCTAATTTGCCAGTCTTAGATTATATGTGGGTTGGAATGTAGCAACCAATCAGATCTAAAACATGTATCTTATGTGTTTATAATTGCCCAGGAGAAATCGTATTTTAAGGCAAAATGCATTGAATAGCACAGTAAAAAGTGTGCCATTTACATTTATTGATTGATTAAATTTATATCTTCCGCCCAAAGGAGTCCAGAGTAGCAAGTAATAAAAACATCTCAATGTCAATTTTCTCTCTGTGTGTGTGTTTAATTTGCAAAAAACAGGGCACCCGATATGCAAAACTGACAGGGGATGAAAGTCGACTGATCTATCCATCCATCGTGTTCACACAGGCATTATAGTGCTTTAATTCGTGTGTGGTAATGTAATTTCTTTTCTTTTTCTCTTCTGCAGAAAGAAGCTTTCGATGAGACAGGGTGGATTATTAAGAATGTCTTATCTTTACCTATTGTCAACAAGAAGGAAGAAATTGTCGGTGTAGCTACATTTTACAACAGGAAAGATGGCAAACCCTTTGACGAGCATGATGAACAGCTTACTGAAGTACGCTCCAAGTTGCTTGACATTGTCAGGCTACAATCAGACACTGGAGGGAGGGTGTTTTACCATAATTGGAAATTTAAAAGCAAAATACTAACATCTTACACTACACTTCAGTATCTTGGGAAAGTAGTTGGTATGTATACAACCTATCCTGAGCATCTAATATATTGTCATAGTAAGTGTGAGGACTTGGATGTCACTGTTGCTTTTATCAACAGACATTTCCTATAAAAGGTGATAATTTTCTATAAAAGATAATGCCAATGGGTTTGATCCAAAGTAGTGGATAAATAACTTGTTCACTAATTAGTGGTGCTCAAGTGCTAGTGGAAGACGTGTCTGTAAAAGACAGGTGTTTTGCATTATCACAGTGTGTGTGCCTTCCCAGCTGCGCAGAGCAGATGGAAATACCTAAATGTTTATATTTATTTACTCCGTTTCAGATGCTTACACAGTTCCTGGGATGGTCTGTTCTAAATACCGACACCTATGACAAAATGAATAAGCTTGAAAACAGAAAAGACATTGCTCAGGAAATGCTGATGTATCAGACAAAAGCAACAGCGGCTGAAATTCAGACCATATTGGTGAGTGTGAGTTCACTTGTACAAAAATGAAGTTTGGACATTTTTGTGAGATCAGCTGAACTCAATGGTTTTATTTGCTTTTCCCCCCATGTTAGAAATACAAAGAAAAACTGAATTTAGATGTTATAGATGAGAACTGTGATGAGAAACAACTTATCAAAATTTTGGTAAGTAACTAAAGGCATACTTATATTTGATATGGGACACGGTGTTTGTTGTTTGTTTGGGATGGTGTTAGACTGTCCCCAAAGGATCAGGTACAGAGTCTGAAGATACTCCTATTCTGTCTTTCCTCTAAAGGCTGAGGTAGTTGGAGGCATGAAATGCCTGTTGCCAGTTCCACCTGCTTCACCATGTACTGGGATAGCCTGGCCACAGTAACCCACACCCACATTTACTACTGTATTGACTACTGTATTGCACTCTATGTGCATCCTGAAGATGGTTCAAAGATGATGCAGCATGGGTACCAACAAATGGGAGCATGGAACACTGTCACCGAGTCCCATTCAAGGTGTTGACTCTGATATATAAAACCCTAAATGGCTTGGTGGGGGGGGACAGACACCTGATTATATGAAAGAACGCCTCTCCCAATACTACCCTGTCCATGATCCTAGCTCGGCTGCGGAAGTGCTATTAGCTGTACTATCATCAAGGGAGATCCAATTAAGTGGAACTGGGCTACAGCTTTCCAATGAGCTTTTTGCTGAGATCAGGCAGGCTACTGCACTGAGGTCCAGCAACAGCAGAAAACACCATTATTTCGCTGAGTCTTTATGCATTAGTTGTACGTGTTAATTTATATTGTTATTCAGAGATGATAAATATTATGAGTGTTGGGTACTGGTTCTAGAGGTTTTAGTGATTTAATTTTGTTTATGTGATTTGTTTAGAGTTATGTGATTTGATGTTGCAACAAGACTGTAACCTTAGGGTGAAGCATGGGATATGAAGTCTAACGAATAAACAAGCAGATAATAGCTCTTCCTCACACTGGGCTTTGCTGCAGTTTTGTGAACTCTGGTGTAGAGGGAAGGAACCATGCCCAAGAAAGCATTTGCAGGGGAGTTTGATGAATTCATTGGAACTACCATATCTGCATGGATCTACATGCTAGGGTACATGACCTTAAAGCAGTACCCTATGCAATATACCTAATAAAGTTAGGGAATCTACAAGGAAAAAAAAAAGGATTTGGAAAGATTTTTCTAAAATGTACTTGGTCAGATATTTACATGGCAAATTCTCAGTGAATTAGCAATAAATTCTGGGGTGGGTTTTTTCCTTCTGTTTTTCTTTTGTATAACTAGACTCCTTTGATAGAGTCACATGGAATGGCTTGTTTAGCAGGGAACATTCTTTGGTATTCCTGCTCTCTGCTTGTATCACTATTTAGTCTGGATTAGCAGAGGCTGGGGTTGGAAAGGATGAGAGAATGTGGGTGATCCCCGCCCTTTGGCTTGTGATTGGAAAAAATAGCTTTAATTACTTCTACTGCTACGATTTGGTGATGTTACCTACCAGGGAACTAGTTATATCTCTGCAATTCTCCATCCCCGGTAGAAGTCTACAGCTTTTGCAACTGATGTACTGCACAGCATGGCAGAATGAGCCCTCTCTTGTCCTCATCTGCTTGCTACTACAGCTGTGTGCCTCTCTGTGACTTCATATAGTATATGCTTTGGTAGGACTGTATTGCAGGGAGACACAGGGTTGTTATTGAAAATGGAATCCACATGTTGAGCATTCTCTCATTTTGTATCATGTATTTGTTATGTATATATGTCAGATTTCCATGGCATCATGTGCTTCTGCACCACTGCCAACCACATATGTACAGTAGAGGTGATGAAATGCACAGCATCCTATCATGGCATAGGGAGAAGAAAAATTAACAGGGAATAGACTTGACACAGAATGCCATTTTCACTAGGAGTCTTCTATAACAAAGAGTTGTGCCCTGAGATTCATTAAGCCATTGGAGGGAATCCTCAGGCTCAGGGGCCAGTTGAATTACAGACCTTTTTATCTGGCCTTCAGGATTCTCCCCAGTTCACACCCCTCCCTGGCATTGATCTGTGTTCTCCTTGTGTTATTTTGCCTGAGCCCTTGAATTGTGGTAATACCTCTTGTTTGCCTGGATAGTGAGGTGTGTGTGTTGGAAACTAAAAATCAGGGTCCCATGTTTCCCCCCACTGAGCTTGTATGTGAGTGAAACATTGGGCTAAAAAACTCTAGAAAATAATGCAGCCAAATTCCTGATAGAGAAGGGCACCTAAATGTAAGGTCTGATCTCCCGTGCACTGCCAAATACAACGGCTTTATCCTATTAGAAAGCTTGGAATCCCAGCTTGCTAATGGGATAAAGCAGGTGTTGCATCTTAAAACTGTCATTGCTCCAGAAGTGACTGGCTCTTGCCCTTGACCTGGGATCAGAATACGGTAAATAGAAGAGGGAAACTTTGAAAAGAATGATAATAAAAAAGGAGGCATGTTGAGATACTTTTCGTCATTGAGTTTTGCACTCAATATCCCGAGTGGTAAACAGCAGTTCCATTGGCCACAGTAGAATATAAGTAGATTCTGCATTTGGTACAGAAACAACTTTGGTCACCCTGACCCATGACCAGTGCCAGGAGAGGGATTCCCCTGGACTTCTCAATGACTTTTCATACTATGGAGCAGTGGCAGAGCTTCATGCTTTGGCACCAGGGGGTGGAGAGCAAGCGGGGGCGGCACTGGCGCGCATCCTGGAGGCGTAGCACCCAGTGCAGGCGGGGGGGGCAGCTGTGATGGCACCCCACTGGGATTGCGCTGCTGGGGGCGGTGCGCTCCCCCCGCACTCCTCTTCCTCCGCCAGTACTATGGAGTAGACCATGATATCCTTCTGGCTAGGCTATCTGGATTGAGAACTGGAGGTATAATTTTACAGTTCTGTTCCTACCTGAACAGGCAATTTCAGATGATGACGCTGGGGGACCACTGGTCAGCTCAACAACATTTATACTGTGGTGTTACATGGGAATAAGTCTTGTTCTTTGCTTTTTTATTACCTACCATGAAACCACTGAGTTAGATCACCCAGAGATTTGGGCTGAGATGCCATCAGTATAAGTGCTACGTTGGTGCTTGAGTACAGTAACGGACTGTATGAGGGCCAACAAACCAAGTCTCCATTCATATAAGACAGAGAGGCTTTCTGTAGCATGTTTGTCTATTCAAATGTCCCCCCCCCCCCCGTTCTGGATGGGGTTGTAGTCCCTCTGAAGGAACAGGTTTGCAGTATGAGGATGCTCCTTCCACAGTCTCTGTCACTAGAGGTGCAAGTTTCCACTGTGGCATGAATCCCCTTTTACCAGCTTAGGCTGATTTTCCAGCTCTTGCTCTGGTAACCTTTCACTTAGATTACTGTATGTGTGCAGCTGCAACCGCACACATCGCCGCAACTCGGGAAGTGTCCAGAAAAGGGGGCATAGCAGTACAGAGTGGGCTTATGCCCACTCCACCAACATGCATGGCAGCCAGGTACATAACCCCCACGCAAAACAATAGTTGACTGTAGTTGATAATACGGCTGTTAGACTGCTAAGTGAGACTGGACATTATGGTCATGTTGCGCTGGTGTTTTGATAACTGTGCTGGCTCCTAGTCTGCTTTGGGGTGCAGTTCAAAGTGCAGAGTCTTGATCTTTAAAACCATTAATGGATTGAGCCCAGGCTGCCTGAAATATTGTTTATTTCCTGCCCACACTTTGAGATTGTCCTCATCTGAGGCCCCTTGTTTAGGTTCTTCCAGCATCTGACATGTGGTGTGTAACTCTTGGGGGACAAAGCATTTTCAGAGGTGGTGACTCAGCTTAGAATGTTCTCCCCAGAAAAATGCTCTGACAGTTTTCTCGCAGCACATGAAGATTTCTAATTTAATTTTTTTCTTTATATTTTTTGTTAAATTGTTTTATTTGAATATTGTTTTTATAGAGTTGCCGCTTTTAGATTATTTTAATGTACAAATGCTTTTACAAAGCAATGTCCTCTATATCTTTTAGTCTATGCACCACTCTCCAAATAATACCTGACAGTCTAAGGCAGGCATCCCCAACCTTCAGCCCTCCAGATGTTTTGGATTACAATTCCTATCATCCCTGACCACTGGTCCTGTTAGCTAGGGATCATGGGAGTTGTAGGCCAAAACATCTGGAGGGCCACAGGTTGGGGATACCTGGTCTAAGGCTAGAGACATACAATAGTTTGAAAGAACATTCAAAGTGGTGCAAAAGTTTAAAAAATATATATATAAAAGTTATATAAAAAAAATAATATTCTCCAGAACAAGGCCTGCCCAACCTGTGACCCGCCAAGCTGAACATAGCCCACCAGTGGCCATTAGCAGCCCATTCAACCTTCGATATTTGCTCCTTTGCCTGGCACAGCAAAAAAGAAAGAGAAAAGCAGGGTGGCTGGGGTGGGTAGAAGTCAAGCACCTGGCAGCCACAATGCATTTTTTTTGGTGAGCTATGTTCAGTCTGATGAGTCACAATTTGGGCCAGTCTGATCTAAACAATATATACCTTGTGATCTAAGTGCATCTAAAAAGTAAAGGTAAAGGTACCCCTGCCTGTACGGGCCAGTCTTGACAGACTCTAGGGTTGTGCGCCCATCTCACTCAAGAGGCCGGGGGCCAGCGCTGTCCGGAGACACTTCCGGGTCACGTGGCCAGCGTGAAATCGCTGCTCTGGCGAGCCAGAGCCGCACACGGAAACGCCGTTTACCTTCCCGTTAGAAAGCGGTCCCTATTTATCTACTTGCACCCAGGGGTGCTTTGAACTGCTAGGTTGGCAGGCGAAGTGCATCTAACTGGATGACAAATCTAACTGGATCTAACCAATGCATAAACATACGCCTCCCCACCTTAAAAATAATTTGGAGATATTAAGCAACTTAGTATGCAATGCTAATTTTTCTAGAACTGTTGCTTGAAACATGAGAGATCTGTATATTCATGGTGGTTTTGATTCCAAAGTGTTGGCATGGCAACCCTCCCACGGAAGCTGAAGACAGAAAAATTATCTCCGCCTAATCCCTTGTGACATGTCAAACTGATGGGGTTTTGTTTGGTTTTCCCAACAGAAAGAGGAATTGCCTGAACCAAAGGATGTAGAACTTTATGAATTTCGCTTCAGTGACTTCCCCGTTACAGAACATGAGTTGATCAAGTGTGGGATACGGATGTTCTTTGAGATAAATGTTGTGGAAAAGTTCAAAGTACCAGCAGAGGTCAGATATATTTTGCCTTGTTTCCCTAAGCCTGTGCCATATGAAACAAAGAACATAGCATTACCTTTGCAGACCTAGCGTGCCATTCATAGTCCTAAATATGAGGCAGATCTGCTCTTGTATATATATTCAGCTGTGGTGCGCCAGGATGCACCATTTCATCATGCAAACTAAGCCAGGGAATAGGCGGTGACACAACACAGAAGAGGCAGTATGGAGTGTAGGCCTGACTCTATGTCATAAGCAGGCCCACAGGCACCCTCCATCTTATGCAGCTGCTCCTCATAACTGGCATTAGTCAGTCACCAAACAGGATTGCCCTCCCTTTGCATCAGCTGGGTGTCTGGTGCTTTGGAAACTACTTAGGTTGGCTTTGACAAATCCCTACTCTTTCTGATGATGATGATGATGATGATGATGATGATGATATGTATATTAGCAAATGTAAAGCACAATAAAACACCAAACATTAAAAACTTCCCTATAAAGCCCTGTCTTCAAAAAGTTGTGTAATTCTTTATTTCCTTGACATCTGATGGGGGGGGGCGTTCCACAAGGAGGGTGCCACTACCAAGAAGGCCCTCTGCCTGGTTCCCTGTAACTTTACTTCTCACAGTGAGGGAACCACCAGAAGGCCCTCAGAGGATGACCTCAGTGTCCTGCCTGAATGATGGGGGTGGAGACACTCCTTCAGCTATACTGGGCTGAGGCTGTTTAGGCCCAACCTTTACCTATATCATGTCAGGCGTAGGGTGGGTGGAGGCGGATTACCCAAAATGGTCTTGCAGGCCAAGATGAGCTGAGAGGGGATTTGACCCCTGGTTTCCCAGGTCACAGTCCCAGACCCTCCAAGTGCCCCTACTTTCCAGGGATGTCCCTGATTTAGAGATGCCGTACCAGTTTCTGATTTGATCCTGGAATGTCCCACTTTTCCTTAGGATGTCCCTGTTTTCATTGGAGAAATGTTGGAGGGTATGGAATTATCTGACCCCTGAGCCATCTGAAGGCAATCCTGTATAGGGAAGCTTTTTAAAAAATGTGTAATGTTTTGTTATGTTATTATATATGTTGGAAGCTGCCCAGAATGGCTGGGGCAACCATGTGTGGGGTATAAATTGTAAAATTATCACTATGGCATGGGACGTCCCTATTTTCATTGGCGAAATGTTGGAGGGTATGTAGTCTAGTATTCTGTTAACGCTACGCTGACACAAAATCAGGATTAATCTCAACTTTATTATAGTACAACCAATTTTATAGCTGTGGCAAAATAGCTTCGTATTTTGTTTATAAGACTTAAAAGTACAGAGAATCAAGTGTGTTTAATTTGCCACAGGTGCTTACAAGGTGGATGTATACTGTGAGAAAAGGCTATCGCGATATCACTTACCACAACTGGCGGCATGGATTCAACGTTGGGCAGACCATGTTCACCCTTTTGATGGTATCTTTTGTTTCTCTGGATCTATGCCTAAATTTGTTTTTCATTTGTAACACACCTGCAGAGATGCGTTATTTATTTGTTTGTTTGTTTGTTTTGTTTTGTTTGTTTAAAAACCTTCTCTTTCTATAGACAGGTAGAATAAAGAAATATTATACGGACCTAGAAGCCTTTGCTATGGTATCTGCAGCTTTTTGCCATGACATTGATCACAGAGGGACCAACAACTTGTATCAAATGAAGTAAGTGGTGTCTGTTGACATATACATCTGGAACAACTGTCTTAAAAGTAGGGAACATGATTGGATGGTGGTGAAAAGAAATTGCCATTATCTAAAGCAGCCGGTTCAACTTAGTGCCTAATGGATCAGACCATATATGCATCTAGGCTAGAATCCTCTTTTCTGCAGTGGCCAACCAGGCACGTTCTTATGTAGTGGATAAATTTGCTGTAGTGGGAGCAACATGCATCATTTATTGGTCCTCTTGTTCAGGTAGCCACTTATTGCAAAAAGAAAACAAAACCCCAAAGAACCCACCACCCACACTTCCATTCCTCCTTTATATCTACACCATGGGTAGGCAATCACCTTCTAAATCCAGCCCGTGGACGGTCTGGGAATCAGCATGTTTTTACATGAATAGAATGTGTGCATTTATTTAAAACGCATCTCTGGGTTATTTGTGGGGCCTGCCTAGTGTTTTTACATGAGTAGAATGTGTGCTTTTATTTAAAATGCATCTCTGGGTTGTTTGTGGGGCATAGGAATCCGTTCATTTTTAATTTCCCCCCCAAAATGTAGTCCGGCCCCCCATAAGGTCTGAGGGACAGTGGACTGGCCCCCTGCTGAAAAGGTTTGCTGACCCCTGATCTACACTGTTGGTTGCCTGCTACTTCATGGTGGTCAGCTAGATCAGTCGAGGGGCAGCTGAACTCTGGGCTCAGCTTATCTCTTTCATGCACGGAAGTTGAAGTCAATAACTATATTACAACAGGATGGACCAGCAGGAAGACATGTTGCTGGTACTCTATGAATGAGAATAGTTTCCTATTAATTAAAAGCAAATTAGTGTGGATAAGCTCTACAGCATGTAAGTTCATGGTTCAGAAATACACCCTGTGGATTATTTTAAACAATATAATTGTGTTTCATCAGGTCAGCATCTCCACTGGCAAGACTTCATGGCTCTTCCATTTTAGAAAGACACCATCTAGAGTACAGTAAAACCTTGCTACAAGATGAGGTCTGTGTCTGTGTTCAGGTTATTTATTTGTACTTATTTTGCCCAGAAAGTCTGTTATTAGCTACTTATACACAATAGTACTACTATCCCTAGTTTTTGTTTTTTATTTTGGATGACTAGGAAATACTATGACAGTTTACTTTAAGTAGATGCATTATTATATAGTAGCATATACACATGGAATAATTTGGTAAGCTGTACTGATTTGCAAAAATCTCAATCTTGCAGAGTTTAAACATCTTCCAGAACCTAAATAAGCGCCAGTATGAAACTGTTCTACATTTATTTGAAGTTGCAATCATAGCAACTGACTTGGCTTTATATTTCAAGTAAGTGCTAAATTCTTTTCTACTATAATGCTTCCTTCTTAGGAAAATTTAAAATGCAGCTACTGCGGCCATTTTATAATTTTTTAAAACTTTTTTTCTGTGTAGTTTTTCATGTTTTGAGCCTACTAAATTAAAAATGTTTTTAAGTATTACTTTAACAAAAAAGGCAAAAACATAAAGAATGTCAAAAATAAATGCATTTATGTATGGAATGATTTTTTGTCTGTGTCTCATCATGTGGGGGAAAAACTAGTCAGATACCCTGTACACTGTGTACATATTGGTGCATATTTAAACTAAAGGATACCTGAAAAGTGATGATAATGTGATTCCATTGTTAATCTTAGCAAAGGTTTACCTGACAGGGTTAGTCCATTAGGTCATTACTGCAATTACAAACCCAACGTAATTTAGTGCCTAATATCCATCAAGGTTTCTTGTTGTTGGGCCTCATAATTCCATTTCAGAAGGCCCTTGTTGGGCTCCAGGACAGTAAAATTCCCAAGTAGGCTGTAAAAGGGACCATGCATGCATTGTAAAAGTCACCATATTTCCACAGGAAAAGGACTATGTTTCAAAAGATTGTGGATGCAATTGAAAAGATGGAAAAAGAAGAGGAAGCAATTAAATATATATCTATGGACCCGACCAAAAAGGAAGTAATAATGTAGGTCAATTTCATTTTATCCTTCCTCCACTAAGGCTAGTACTGTTTTTCCTCCTGCTATAAATCTATTCTCTTTATTTAAAGGGCGATGATGATGACTGGCTGTGACTTGTCTGCTATCACTAAACCATGGGAGGTGCAAAGTAAGGTGAGCATCTTCAGAATCAAATTTGATGTAATTTTTATTGAGAGAAAATACACGAGGCTTTTATTTCAGTAATATCTAGATATGTGTTTGATGCTGAAGCATGTGAAGATGTTTATTGATTTCCAGATTTGTTCCCTATTCTTTTTCCAAAACGAGCTTACCATAACAATAATAAAACAGGAATTCAACAGCTTTAAGAAGTTCAGAAGAGCCGATCCTGGTGATCAGATCAAGGGTCCGTCTGGCCCAAGCACACTGCAAAGCCCTCAAGCAGATGGTCTTTGCCATCCCAAGCAACTGGTGTTCAGACAGATGTAGGTTTGATCATATTTTAAAGCCATCTAAACCATTGGCCATAACCATCTCTTGCAGCACTAAATGCTATCAGTTAGTGAGTTCCAGAGGGCAGCAAGTAGACAGCATACCATTCATTTCCAGCTATAGATACTGGAGTAACATATTAAATACTTGTAGAATGCATTCCCACCTTCTTCGCCGTGATACATGTCAATTCAGAGGTGGATTCAGGACATGCTTGTGGTATTCCAAAACGATCAGAATGTGTGGCAAATATATCTTATTGGTAATTTTTAAAGAGTTATTACTATGATGGCAAAAACACATTCTTCTGCTACGTTTTCTGTGGAACAGGTTGAATACTGTTTTAGGTTACAATTGCTGTTTAATCTTGAATCTTTCAATAGAAGCCATTATTCATTCCAATAGGGACGCGGGTGGTGCTGTGGGTAAAACCTCAGTGCCTAGGACTTGCCGATCGCATGGTCGGCGGTTCGAATCCCCGCAGCGGGGTGAGCTCCCGTCGTTCGGTCCCAGCTCCTGCCCACCTAGCAGTTCAAAAGCACCCCCAAGTGCAAGTAGATAAATAGGTACCGCTTTATAGTGGGAAGGTAATGGCGTTTCCGTGCACTGCGCTGGTGCTGGCTCGCCAGAGCAGCTTCGTCACGCTGGCCACGTGACCCGGAAGTGTCTTCGGACAGCGCTGGCTCCCAGCCTCTTAAGCGAGATGAGCACGCAACCCCAGAGTCGGACACAACTGGCCCATACGGGCAGGGGTACCTTTACCTTTACCTTATTCATTCCTAGGTTGCCATCATGGTTGCAAATGAATTCTGGGAGCAAGGTGATCTTGAACGAACTGTCCTACAGCAACAGCCAATTGTAAGTGTTTCGTTGTAATTATATTATCTATTATATTGTTTTGTTTTAAAAACAAAGACTTCCAAGTATTTCAACTGACTATATCTGCTTCATTCATTTTTTAGCCTATGATGGACAGGAACAAAGGTGAAGAACTGCCCAAGCTTCAAGTTGGTTTCATTGATTTTGTGTGTACTTTTGTATACAAGGTAAGACGAATAATTTGAGTGTCATATTATTCCGTTTTTACAATGTATACCTAAATTTTTAGACAGAAGGAATTATAAGTCAAATATGTATGTTAAATGGTTACAACTGTGCATGTTTTGAACTGTTGAGTCTCCTAAAACATCTCCTACTGGTATTACTCAGAGCTTTTCATATCAGGATGTCTGATCCTCCCTACTTTTAAAAGTTTCCTTTCAATGTAAATAGCACCATTCTTATCGTATACATACACTAAGGACAGAATTAGATTTTCATCAGCAAGTGCATGATTTCTAATCACAAATTTGCCTCTTGGGGCATTTACAGGGGAGAACCCAACACTTTCCCTCATTTGACTGGGAAATCAAGTTTCTAAGCCAGGCTGGGGGAATTAAACCCCTTCTGCCCATCAACCACTTATTTTTGACAAATGTTACCTTATCCTGGCATTGCGCATCAGAAACCTTCCTGCTAGCCAACTTAGTTCTGCCCTGAGATAAATATGTTTGTCACCGCAGCTTGCCAGCTAATGGCCATCTTTAGTCTGCAAATGTCAGAAATGTCTGTTACCACTGTAGATGCACCATTTCACCATGAAAGGTCAGTTTACGGATCTGCACTGTTTACTTAGGAATTCTCAAGGTTCCACAAGGAAATTACACCTATGTTTGATGGCCTTCAAAACAACCGGGTGGAATGGAAGTCGCGAGCTGACGTGTATGAAGAAAAGATGAAGAAGATTGAGGAAGAAAAGAAAAGGCAGGAGGAAGAAGCTGCCAAGAAAGGTTAGGCATATAAAAATGTGTTCCTACATGCATGCACATGCTTGTGCAATTTGGGTAACTTTGGCTGGATTTGGCATTCAAGGCTAAAGTCTGCTGATCAGCACTTAGTGGTAAGTAGGGATGGAATGGGCTGGATTAAGAGATTCCCTGAGCTGAGCTCTGCAAATGAAACCTTTGACTCACAGAAGGGGAGAGAGGCGATTTTCAACGGTTCCCTTTCTGCTTGCTACCCCTCCTTCCACCCCATAAAATGTGTTCCAGAGTGCGTTATGGGCTCTGGAACACCATGGAAGGTGGCAGAAGGAAGGTAGACTTGGTTGAAAGTCATCATCTCTGTAGCTTTCATGAGCAGCAGCCATTAGTGGGACCCTAACCCTTCTGTGAATAGAAGAAACCTCTGGTTTTGCTGCTGGAACACCAAGTCGCCTGGTGCTTACTCTCACCATCTTAGCTCAGTACACCTTTTGCTCAGAGTTCATCTTCCAGGAAGCACAATCGCAAGTCAAACACCTGTGTTACATGTGCCCCAGTCTCTGAGTGGTGAGAGATTTCAGGAGTGCCAGGCAAACCTCATGTTTGATTTCCTGAGAATGGAGGTCACTGGAAACTGTGGTGCCACTGCAAATGCTAGATGAGCACTCCGTTGTAGAGAGAGTATACCGGACCAGTCCTGCCAAATGTAGTGTGCAGGAGGAAGCCAGCAGAGAAAGCTGGGGAAAAGGTAGTACACTCTCCCTCCCACCATGAGTTTCCCCAAGCGTTTCAGCAGAGAAAAAAGCACCTGCGTGGAGGAGAAGGAAGAGAATTGTCCAATGTACGGTGTGTGTGTGTGTGTGTGTGTGTGTGTGTGTGTGTCTTCAATCTATTTTACGTGCTCAGAGGTTGCCTAAGTGCCTCTGCCCTACCATGTCATTAGCTGCTGTATAGCCTGCAATCTGATATCCACTTACCTCAGAGGAAGCCTCATTGAACTCAGTGGAACTTACTTCTCTGAGCAGATATGTACATGACTGAGCTGTTAGTGGGGAAAGTGGAAGAGTCACAGTAGCATTAATTGCCAGTTTGAAAATCCTTAGCAAAATCTCCCTTTACACACTAGAGAAATCAACTGGTGTTGTTATCTGTTGAACTAGACATCTATTTCTAGCCTAAGTTTAAGAAGTGAGTCTTGGCAGAAGGAAAAGGAAAATGGCATGAGCAACTGAATCGAGTTCATCTTGTGATGCTTTCATAACTTTTTTAAAATGCCTTGTTCCCTATGAGGATACAATACTTTATTTTCATGCTGTTCCTTGCACAAACCTGAGTCCAAAACAAATAGTATCCTTGCCAAAAACAACAGAAAATGCTGTTGTATCTGTTACTCCAGCTGCAACGACAAGTTCACGTTCATGTTTGCCTTCTGGACTTGATATTTCCCAAGTTATTAGCAAGACTCATAAAAACACAGTGAGCCCAATCCTGCTAAGGAGATCTGCATAAATAAACAGGCTTACCACTTACTAGATTTGGAACTAAGAGTATAGGATCAGGTGCAAGTGAAAAAGTCTATTCATCTGTACTTGACTGCCTTGAATAAGATGCATATTCCAAAGTGCATTCCATTGTGCCTGTACATTTTCCCATGCAACAAGGTATGTGGTAATACCTTGTGGATACATAGCTAGGGCTACATCAGGGCCAACAGCTAAGCTGGTTTGTAAGGACATAGAAACTGGCACCCTACACAATTCATTTTTTCTTTTAAATGATGAGATGCTTTTGCCTTTTCTCTTCCTGTGAAAAATGTGGATGTGTTTGGGAAAGTGCTTTGGGTCTTTGGTCCTCTGATCTGCTAATTTTAATTTCAAAAAGAAAAGCCGCCTTTAAAAAGCATCTTTTAAAAGTAGGTGAAGACAAGATAACATGGAAAGATTGCTCTTCTAAAAGCTATGAAAATATTATTTTTGGCAGGATGTATTTAAAATACTCTGTACAATATTCAAGGATTATTATTAGTCATTACAGTGTTACAGTGAAACAGTAAGCTCACAAAATCAGGGTGTTTATAGAAAGAGATCAATGGTCTAAAAATTGTAGAGTAGTAGAAACACTTCAGTTTTGTATATAGGCATGTAAGGACCATTCAGATACTTCACTGATACAACAGTGCAATCCTGAAACATTAGGTAGGCTTACCATCGGAGTTCAATACAGTGGTACCTCGGGTTAAGTACTTAATTCGTTCTGGAGGTCCGTTCTTAACCTGAAAATGTTCTTAACCTGAAGCACCACTTCTAATGGGGCCTCCTGCTGCCGCCACGCTGCTGGAGCCCGATTTCTGTTCTTATCCTGAAGCAAAGTTCTTAACCTGAAGCACTATTTCTGGGTTAGCGGAGTGTGTAACCTGAAGCGTGTGTAACCTGAAGCGTACGTAACCCGAGGTACCACTGTATATGATTTGGATTACACTCATATCTTTGGACCAACTGGTTGTGATGCTGCATTGAATGCTTGCCTTTCAAAATAAAAACAAATTTTATTTGCTGAACCACTACAGTGGAAAGTTCAGAACAGAAAATAAACAGGATGATATGAGATATTACAAAAATTAAGATCAATATTTTGAATATCATGCTGTTAATTTTAGGTAAACATTCTAGAGGCTAGGCCACTGATCATGTGACGTGTTTCAATGCAGGTGGAAAGGGTCGAAAATAACCTAGTAGCATGGTGATCCACAGCTTTCAAATGTAAGTTTTCATTCTAATGTTGCTATGTTAATTTACATGAACCAGAAAGCAACAATTTGCTTTACTACAAAGAGAAAAACTATGAAAAATTAAAACCTGTGGAATCATTTGAAAGACGTTGGAAGCAATAGAAAAAGTAGTTTTAGGGTTTGATTTTGAGATTCAATAAAAGTTTTTGGGTTCCCCCCCATGTCATCTGTATTCAGGATAAAAAAAGGTCCACATTTTTTCCTCCCAAAGAGTTTGGAGGATTATATCGACCTATGATTTAATTTTCTGTCTGAAGACCTTTCATCAGCTACAGTTTTGTCAATGCAGTTAAGTATACCTAGTTGCTGAAACTTTCCAGGAAGAGTGGTTCAGTGTGTGTTTGTCCTTTGAAAAGTTTTCATATATTGTGCCATACCTTAGGTGAATAATATTTGGTTATTAGCCATCAAGTTGCTAAATGGTTATTCATCAAATGGCACAATTGCTGATAATGTGTTGAGCTTTAAAATGGCCAAACACACGTGCTTTCATGCCACAAAGTAAACACCTGTAAAACACCTAATGAATACTATTAAAACACACACACATCACCTCAATAACCCTTTGCTTTCTGCTTTTTATTAGCTGAAGCAGCAGCAGCAGGAGGCGGCGGTGGTGGTGGTGGAGGAGGAGGAGGTGGAGGAGAAGAGGGCAAATCAAAAACATGTACAATTTTATAACTGACTTCAATGGCACTAAAAAAACATCAAGGACAATATTTCTGCTACAGTGGAAGAAATCTAGGAAGATCTTCAGTGAGCTTGGGGATTTCTCTGAAACATAAAGTAGCATACAGTCCAGTCCTTACTTGTCTGCCATTTCCAGTGGAATCAACAGTGACAGCATTGGGAGGAAACTGAAAAAAAATCACGACGAATGGATGAAATATAATCAGAGATTAATTTGTACAAGTGGATTATGGGTTCATTTCTTGGGTTGCTGTCATCCTCAATTTATACAGAATGTTTTTTATTAAACGAATTAAAGCTGCAAACTGTCAGGATTTTTACACTATTTTCTGTCAATTTCATATAAGCATCTCCACATTGCACACCTTGTAATCCCATAATTAGTAATGGAGAACAATAGGTTTTATATTATGTTTAGCCCTTTCATCTGGAATTATTTATCTTCTTTTCCCTGTACTGTTACAAATAAAGTTGCAGCAGATGTCATGTTAGTAGCTGTAATTCCAGCATCAGATTTGTGCCTATAAACAGACCTATTGCACATGCATATATACACCTTGATCCAGAGAGTTTCAATGGGTGCAGGAGCTGTAGTGCAGAGGTGAGCAGTCTTAAGGCCCGCAGGATCGACTTTGCTTTTTTTACTAGCATACCAAGGTTCACCAACCAGAGCCAGATGCAAAATAGTGGTTCAAGAGGGAGGACGAGTGCTCAGAAATAATGACAAGGCACCTCTGTCCACTCTTGGTCCCCCACCCAAGCTTTGCTTCAGAAGCTTAACTCAGGTGTTGCAGAGGGGGGAGCCTGTTAGTTAATGCTATGAGCTATCCGAGAATCAGACAACCTTGCCAATTTCCCAGAGATCACAACCAGCCTTCAGCCCACTCCAGAGCAGACAGGGAGAAATCCCATCCACAAAAGCTGCCCTATTCTTAAAAGGTAGTAAATCTTTGCCCATTATTTTGCATATGTGGATCTGTTGGATCCACTGAAATGAATGGAAGGTTCATGCACATACAAACTCTTGTGTTCTGCTAATCACTTCTGCAGTGTGGGAGCTACTGTAGTGTGGCTCTTTCCGACACTGAAAAGATACAATCTGAAACCTGAGATCACGTTGGTGGAACCCGTGCTGTATATCGTTCATCTTCACACCAGTATTCCTGTTTCCATGCCCTTTCCACATAACTTGGCACTTCCCATGATAGCCTTGTGGTACAAAGTGAATCGTGCGGTAAAAAGTATGTGAGAAGGCAGGCTATCTGTTAACAAATCAAACAAACACAGCAATTTTATCGGTCATAACACTAGAATTTGGGGCTAGTCAATGATGCTGAATGTTGGGAGATTCAAGATAGACAAGAGAAAGTACTTTTTCACTCAGTGCATATGGAATTCATTTCCCCACAATGTACAATGACCATCCACTTAGCTGGAGGATAAGGCTATCAATGGCTAGTAGCCAAGATGTCTATGTTCTGCCTCCCTGTTGGAGCCATTATGCCTCTGTATACCAGTGGCTGGACCTGCTTGTGGGCTTCTTATAGGCATTTGGTTGCCTACTGTGAGAACAGGCTGTTAGACTAGATGAGCCTTTGCCTGATCTGCCAAGCCTCTTCTGTTCAAATCAGCAAGGGTAGTTTATAAATGGGCATCTGTCTTGAAAGCAACCCCCCATCAAAACCCAAGCTCAGTCCTTGAATAAGCACTAATTCTCACTCAGTAAACAATGCAAAACCCTTCTCAACCCAGTTGTAAATACTTTGGCCAAAATCTAAAAGCCTGAATGCAGCTCACAGGCATTTGTTTTTGAGTTTTCCCTGTCATCAGCATTTCTTTCCGAAAAGCTTCAACCACCATGCAAATTAGGCTAACAGTTTTAACTCCATGTGCGTATACAGATGTTGTATATGGAAAACTCTGGCCATTACATAGCATTGAGCATCCAATCCATATCTATTTATCTTTTCAGAGTATGCTTGATCACTATGGGCAAAGGAAATATCTTTCATTGATAAATCTTTATCTGCTGTGCACTAGGTTACTGAAATCAAAACACAACTGCAACAATTTCTTCAAATGTGCTATGATCCTCAAATCATTTTAGTATCAGATGTTTCGCTAAGCCAGCCATTTTGTTTTTATACGTCCAAATAGTTGCAAATACCTTAGGGGCAGAAATGCAAATACAGCTGTACGCCACCTGCTTTCTATAAACTTCTAAACATGCTACAAAAATGTTTCTGAAAAGGGTCAAAGCTATACAAAATACAAGAGTAACCCAATGATACAGTGCTTCATTAAAATTTATCATTTGTTTGATTATTGATTACTGGGCCAAATATTTTATGCAGACTTTTACAATGCCATAAAAATATATAACTATATTATTTTTCTGTATTAAATATAGATACAAGAAAGAGATACTAAGGTTGCTGTTGATCATATACTTTGTATTAAAACAAAAAACAGCATATTAAATATGTACTGACCATTTTTTATAACTGCACTGGAAAAACTGCACAAGAAAAACTGGACCTCGACAATGGACAGTTTATAGTGTTTGAAACAGCAGATATCGTAGTGGACTCTTCCAAAGCCCTGAGAGACATGTTACACAGATGCAAGCTGATTGTTGCTTATTGGATTTGGCTCCCAACCAAACTTACAAGAAGGCAAAGATTTAACCTTTAAATCCACCTTCTTACCTAAAGAAGCCTTCACACACAGACAGCTACCTTTCTTTGCTATTCAAGGACACCCTTAATGATTTATCTTCCTTCTGTGTGCATGAATGCTGAAAAAATATAATGAAATAACATTAAATGTGTGTAGAGATGTTCCAATATTCACTCAAGCTGTACACCAGGGTAAAAACATATTCATGAATATATTATGAATATGTTCAATTAGTGTTATTTTTTTGAAAACTTCTGGTCTTTTATTACCTGGCATATTTAATTGTCTGCCGTCAAAATGATAAGCACACTACTTTAAATATAATTGTTCCGCGCCCCCCCCCCAAAATTAAATGTAAATGTCATGCAAAAATATGCTAATTTCTTTTTAAACCTTATTTCACATTGCTCAGGGACCAAACAGGATAGTTATTTTCGAGCATATTATTTATTAGAAGCATATGGTAAAATGGATTTAAGATATGTTGTACTTTGAACAGGGGAGAAAGAACCAGGCTGAAGGGTTGTGTGTTCTCGTCTTGCTGTGTGCTCAGGATTACATTCTAAAGGAAGATTACTGTTCGTTCACTGCTAAGGGGATCAGAAATCATGGATAATGCTTAAGCCGCATGTACCTTTGCCCAAGGCAAGCCATCTCCCTCGTTCATTAAAACAAAATGTGACAGTTAACTTAGTTCCCAGTCTTACGTATCTATCCTTCAGAAATAGCTAGCCATACAAGCGCTCATGCTAGTCTCACGTTTGATCACCAAACCTAAGCATTCCCTCTAACAGCAAACTTTAATAGCAAACTGACTGCTAATATGATTGGAGTCAAAACAGAAGCGCTGAGGAAGAAGAGGAAGGTATCAGTGATGCTGGGTAAGTTCTGAGGAATGCAGACCTACAAAGCAATAAAAGGCCCCAAAATTGCCTCTGTATATTCGTTTGTTTGTTTTTTGTTAATCAACTGCTGTAAATCTAACCTGTTCATCAAAGAATGCTGAATCTTATAGTTTTTGAATGTAGTATATCACATGGAAATAATCTCTTAGGTTAAACTACTGCAAAAAAACACACAATCCTATGCCAGATATCTAAGTGAGCCTGTGAAGAAAAGTTGTGCTGGATAATTCTTATGCAATTAAAACCATATTTAAAGAAAAGTCAGGTATGAAATTGGAAGCTTGATGTTTATTTACAGATTTTGATGATCCACGAAGTTCCAGATTTCCACATTACATTTCAGAGAAATAAGTCTTGAAAATACTCATCAAATTCTTCTTCCCTGTAAAACAATAGCAAATGGTATTAAGAAGCATGCATGCAGTCATTTTCATTTACTCACAAGGACATTTTTCAGTCCAAGGTGTGGTACACCTTTTAGGTGTGGTGGCAGGGTCTGTGCTGACAAAAACGTTGCACTATTGGGGCATATTGTTAAGGAAACATATGCTTACAATAATGCTTACAACTTATGGTGGCATGGCAGAGGTGCTGTACCAATCTTGCAAATAGATAACACGTGCGCAAACATTAATGCCAGGGTTGTTAGATCATTCAAATGTGCGAAATGGCTGAAACAAAACTGAGAAACCTACGGGAAGATTGAAATCTAAGGGGAATGTTTCCAAAGGATGGTGCTGCCTGCTTTGAGGCCCAAACTGCATCCTCGCCCACATTTAAAATGTCTTGCTGAACTTCCCAGACACCAATTGTTACCTTCCTTCTAAGGCTGGTGCTGTCTGAAGTAGCTTGCTTCACCCTGTTGTATGATTGGCCCTGGCTGATAGATTTTTGACTACGCGATTTGCCCACCACTTTCCCTCTTTTAGGGGCAGAGCAAATTTTATTTTACTAAGTCTCCAAATAAGTCTGCAATTTACAGAGAGGAGTTTTCTTCTCTGTTTCGTTTACTGAAGTAGGGCATCTGCCCATAAAGGCTAACTGTAATTGTTACCAATTTGAGGAAAAATGACGTAATTATATTTATTTTAAATAAGCACCATCGTTTTAAAACAAACAGCTACTCATCAAAAAACTGACCGTGTTTTCTCTTCAGTTTCTTGTGGCGGACCCTTCCAAAAATCAGCATCTGAGGGACCATCTTGCTCGTCATTATTGACAGAATCTGTGAATGAAAGAGTGATTTAGTAGTATTTAAAATGATTTTAGGAATGTCACATTTTAAACTGTTTGTAAGCTGCCCAAAGTGGCTGGGGAAACCCAGCCAGATGGGTGGGGTGTAAATATAGCAACAACAACAATCTCAAAGCATTTTCTTTATTAACAAGTCTCATTCACAATCCAATGAAGGTAACATTCTCAATCTATTTTTTGTAAATATTAAAACAGGAGAAGAATTGGGAACAACAGGCTTATGGATACACTGCAACTATATTTAGCTAGCTTATATTCCAGTATCAACATTGTGAAAAAGACTGACCAAGCCCTTCCTCTTTAAAATCCATCCCTTTGTAATCATGGTGTGCTTTTCTTCCTAAACAGGTAATTTTGGCATGTTATTTTGTGGGCTACAGCCCAACTGCATGAAGGCATAAGAGGAACAAATATTGTTGCAGGTTTAAATGACTTATGTTTATCACCTCTTTTCCTAATCCCAAACAAAGTATCTTTTTTAAGCAAGGCAAAAGATGCAATGCAACTAAATAGCCAATTTGGTTTGGGTCCCAACAGCCTATCGGCTGCTGGATTACAAACTGTAATTTTCTGCACTTCCACATGAGCATCAGAATGTACTTTCTTGCCACCTATCAACTCTGCATTGCGTTCAGTGGAATGGACATTTGAATGTG